AAAAATAAGATTTTTGCAATAAAAACCATAGTTAACATTTATTTTCCATTAATTTGTATGTGATTCCACTATCCAGTAAAGATACTGTGTACTAGTAAATAAAGATACTTTTCAGATAAAGTAAACGGAAATGATAAAGAACAAGATAGAATTGCCTCAAATAATTATCACTCACCATCCATGTCAAGGAAATCAAGCAAGGACAGTGTTATATGTTGATTGTGTTCTCCAAAAAGATATGCTGAAGTCCAATCATCCAGGTCTAACTGTATCTGGAAATAGGGTTCTTGGAGATGGAATTAGTTATACTGGAACAGGGTGGGCCAAATAACTAATGTCTTTGCCAAAAGACTATGTGAAGACGTGGACAGGACACGGCAGAGGGGAGAGTGGGGTCAACTTAGTTACAAGCCAAGAGACCTCAAGAACAACAAGGACTGATTGCCATCAGCCGAGATACTAGAAAACAACAGCAGGGAATAGCTTAGAGCCTATCCCATATTAATATCCGACTTCTAGACTCCAAAACAGGGAGACAGCAAATTTTCATATTCTATCAGGTTAAGGCAATGTATCTTAATGCCATCACCACCCCAACTCTTGAGCTAACCAGTGGGGCTAGAATTTCCACAGGGTTTGGCCCACACATCCCTCACAGAATCTACCCCCAGTTATAGTTCTCAAGTGCTAGTTAATGTAATGGCCTTGCTTGATGTAACCCTTTTCCTGATCCATCGTCATGTCAGGTAACAGGATATGATTCTGCTGGACAAGCGCCGAGCCATAGCTTTGACATGGACTGGTATTTGGTGGTCAGCATTGTTCAGTGATTACAAGTTTTCCAAAGGAAGAATTACTGTCATTGGGAATCTTTACCATTGCTTCACATCTTAGAAGCACAGTGGCTTCAACCTGGAGCTACCTAAGCAGCGATTCAAAGAACCAAAACCCCAGATCTACCCGGCTGGGTGGCCAGCAGGTGGTGCCTGGCACCAAATGGTGCACTGGCCGCCCTGGGACAGCTTACCATATGCACATGGTGGCTGGCGTCTGGGATCCATGCATGAGACACCCCGTCCTGAGACCCACCAGCAACTGGGAGGCTGCTGGAAGTTTAAACTCCCAGGCCCAAGGTATTGCCCCTCCCCAATCCCATTCACCACCCAGTGAGGGCGGCAGGTGGGCCCCAGACCTGCCCAGTCAGAGCAACCACTGGCATGCGCGTGATCTATGGCTGGGAACAGGCCCGGTTGGGGAGCTAAGGGGACAGCCTTAGACAAGTTGAGGTTCCTACCAAGGGGAGCGAGGCCTGGAATGGGGGCTGCGTTCAGAATGAGAAACGGTTGTAGTCTCCATTGGTACAATGTGGACTGGGATTGGATGCACCGAGCCGAGCCAGACTCCAACACCCTCTGGTATCCTGGAGGACCGGAGTAGATGTGGGATGGACTAGGCAAGGTCTCAACCCCTACTGAGCCATGTGTGAACCATATGAGGGTATGGATGAGCCATGGCTGGGCTGAAACATCCAACAGCAAGAACCAGTTTGGGTTGAAGGCCAGTCAGGAAAAGCCACTGTCCCTGCTAGGACAGGAAGTGAACTGAGTAGGGCTGGCTCATGGACCTCCTGGTGTGGCCAAAATCTGGCATTGGGAGAGGTTCTGATGGAGAAGCCTGGGCAACTCCTCTGGCAGGACACAGTCCCTGCAGGTAAGCGCAAGAAACTTGATAGGAAACAGGCCAGAACAGGCCATGGAAAGTCACTCACTGGCATACATTTGGCATGGGTCGGGGGCAGACCAGACTGAATCTGTTCACATCATCCACTGGCAAATCCAGGTACCAGAACAGTGTGGGTCGAGCCGGGTTTGGTCGCAACAATAACCAGTGCACAATACAGAATGCCAAGGTGAGGTTGCCTGTACCAGATGTGACTGCAGCACCCAACCAGCCTGCATGAGAACCAGGAAGGGAGGGAGCGGAGCTGGCAGGGGAATGAGAGGTGGTTCCTTTGCTGGACAGCTACTCCCACTGGAGAGTGTGAGCTGCGATGGGGGCAGAACAGACTAAGCAGGGCTACAAAGCCTGTGCGCCTCATGTGGACTAGATCAGGGAAAAGCCAGGCTGGGCTGATTATTCCTACTGGTGCAAACAAAATTAGAGTGGATGAGGGTTGTTTGGGCTTAGCCACAGCATCAGCTGGCAGAAGCTGGCACTGGGGGCAGTTCTGTCAAGTCAAACCACAGAACTACCTGGAGAGTGCATAATCCGGGAGTGAGAAAGGTCTGGGAGGGAAATAGTGGGCTCCTCCCTCTTGGGTTACCACCTCCACGGGAGGGCATGAAAACCAGGACAGGGGCTGGGGTGGAATGGGATGTGGGACAGACTGTACAAGTCTGATGCACATTATGGCAAGCATGGGAACCAGGATAGGGGGTGGGCCTGGTGGGGGTTAGTGTGGGTCGCTCCAACTAGGCTGCAGCTCCCACTTGTTTATGCGAGGGCTGAGTATGTGCTGGGCAGAACCAGGCTGGACTGCAACACCCATTGGTTCCAATGGAAGTCGGGGCTGAAAACAGAAGCAACCCAGCGATAGCAACCATCGGGGCGATGGACTATGCTGGGCCCTGTACTTGCCAGCACATACAAGAATCTGGTCTGGGAATACCTCAGACAAAGTTTCTTTGGAGATCTCCCCAATCAAAATGCTGGACTCAGAACCCTAACCAAGAAGAGAGAGAAGACAGGACAATCAATCATCTCAGCTATATTTTGGCAGTGAAATACGGAGCAAACAGAGACTCTATGATGGACTATGTCAATCAGTAGATTCTTCGGCGACCTCATCGTGCTTGGAGTGGCAAGATTGGCAGCGGTTCATATCTGTTGAACTACCAAAACCACTTGAGCAAGAACCTCAGAGCATACCCTACGTCCGGGACCTGGGGAGGGTGGGAAATTGGGTGGGCCTTCTCGCTTAATACCCTCTTTTAAACATGAAAGAAACAATATGGAAATCATAGTCTTACCCATTTTCCTGTAGCCCTTGAACCTTTTTACCCTAATTAACCATGTAAAGATTGTCAAAAATATAATTTAAAAAACGAAAAAAAAAAGAAACTAAGTATCAGCACTTCTTAAAGTTTAAGAAATTGTAAAGACACTTAGAAACCATAAGTTTATAGCATTAACAAACCATTGCTCTCCCTTTAATAGTTTCAAAAGCCTTTGAGTCTATTTTATAGTCTCAGTTATAGTTAGTAATTTAGGAGTAGCTATCTCACACCAGCCTTTTGTTTCATTTTATTTTCAGTTTAAAAAGCAGAGACAAGGAAAGAGACAGATGGAGAGGTGACAGAAGGATGGAGGGTGAGTGCTTCCTTCCGCTGGTTCGTTTCCCAAATGCCTTGGAGCCTAGGATTCAATGGTCACTGTTCACAACCACTTGAGTTGTTACCTGATGCTTCCTGGGATGGGATGCACATGGACTACATGTATCCCGAGCTGTGTCCCAACTCGGGGCCAAGTGCCTGTCTCCCCACCAGCCATTGTAGCCTACTCCTTGAGTATAAGTTTCCTGTGTGTGCGGCATTTTAGCTTCTGGGAATCCCTGCTTCGCTTTAGCACAAAATGAGAGAAAAAAAGTCTTTTGATACAATTTTTTTCCCAATAAATACATGATGAATCAGGGAAATGAAAAGACCGTGGATAAAACTGAAACTATGTCCCTGGAAGAGAGGACCTGAGCTTGGTTGTGACATTTCTTTCACTCCCATAATACCTGGCCATGATATCTCACAATTGTACCCAGAATGCCTCATGCTCAAATCTGTGGTCTAGATGATTATTTCACTGAAGCTGTCAAAACATATCTTGTATCATGATGAAGTTGGTGTGGGCCAAGGCATCTGAAGATGGAGCTTAGATGTTATTTAGTTTGTTGAGATACATTATGGGGCGACATTCCATTAGGGTAAATGGGCAAAATCCCAGGTCTGTGATAGTGGCTGTCAGAGTAACCTGCAGTAGTGAAAAAACTAAGGTATGAGTTGAGTTCTGCCAGCACTCCATGCTAATTAAGTCGGTTTGTAGTGTTCCAGAACATGTGGGAGAAAATACACTCCTGGAAATGTTGAAATGTCTTATAAGCAAGCGCATCCAGTTCCCAGCAGCCCTAACTTGCTTGACTTGAATTTTGCCCAATGGGTAGGTGGTGGTGCCACCGAAGAAAGGACTCATTGAGAGCCCTGTGGGTGAGGCGTGGTGTCACATTATCAGTCACCACTTGCTTCTCGAAACAGGGCGGGAGAGGCAGCTGTTGTTATCTCTCCACAACAAATTGGCTGTGCCAGAGGACAATGCTTGTGGGAGACCTCTGGCTGGCTCCAGCGGTGTGGGGTGACCTGGCTGCATACAAGAGTCAGTCACACCACCAGGGCTCACTTTGAGCAGTGCTCACCCTATCTGGGCAGCACAGTCCTCTCAGAATGAACCCAGACAGTCCCCTCTCAGCACAGGTAGTCATTTAATCTTGTTTCTATAACAAGCTAGCATGAGCTTAGTGTCTTCAAACAACACAACTGTGTTCAAAATCAGTGAGTACCAAGCTGCCACTGGGATGTCAGTGTCCCATATGGACAATGTTCTGCTTTCCACCAGGTCCCTGCCAAGGACCTGAGAAAGTGCAAAAGATGGATCCCACATTTGGGCTTGTGCTGTTCATGTAGGAGATCCACAGCGCTCCTGACCCAGCACTGGTCATTGCAGCCACCTGGGGAATTAATCAGCAGGCAGAAGACCAATCTCTCTCTCTCTCCTGCCCCCTCTTTCCCTCTTCCTCTCTTACCTTTCCTCTCAGGAACTCTGCTTTCAAAGTAAATAAATAAATCTTCAAAAATTATGAAAAAAATAATAAACCCATTTGGGCAATGCAGATGTGTTCTGCCCATCCCCAGATGTTTTATTTTGTCACATCTGCAAAGTCCCTTTTGCCTTGCGTCATGACATCCCAGGTTCTGAAAATCCAAGCCTGGCTGTCCTCGGTGACCACCTGCAGCCTCGTGCACTGGGCCAGGTAGCCAGTGAATGACTTTGTCCTGAAAGCTTCAAACACCTTTCACTGCTATAGTTTCCTCTTGTCTGCATCTCCACATTCTGTGGTCTCAGTTACCGAGAGCCAATTGACCTTATGGCTCAGTGATCACCCTCTGATCCATATTCTGTGTTGGCAGTAGTCTAAGACCATGCCACACTCCCCGTGTCATTTGCCTTAGTTCATCTCCTTGCATAGGCATCAAATCATCTCACACCATCACAAAAACGTTGAGTACAGCAGAGTGAGAGAGACCACATTCATATATGTTTTTATTAAGATATAATATTATACATACACAGTTTTTCCTGGGGTGGCACGGTGACTCAATAGGTTAATTCTCCACCTATAAGCATTGGCATCTCATGGGTACCGGTTCATGTCCTGGCTGCTCCACTTCCAATTTAGCTCTCTGCTTAGGATATGGGAAGCAGTGGTGGAAGGGCCAAATCCTTGGGCCCCTGCACCCATATGGGAGACCTGGAAGAAGCTCCTGTGGCTTTGGATTGGCTCAGCTCCAGTTGTTGCAGCCATTTGCGGAGTGAACTAGCAAATGGGATATCTCACTCTCTCCTCTCTGCTTTTCAAATAAAAAAAATGTAAATGAGTCATTTTTGTTTTGTCCTTCATTTTATTTGAAAGGGACAGAGACAGTCAGTAAGAGAGACAGCAAGGAAGCTGTCATCATAGGAAGCTGAGTGGGAAGTAGGGCACCTGGGAACGTGAACCACACACTCTGTTATGAGACATGGGCATCTCCAGGAGTGGCTTAACTACTGCACCAAACACCTGCCCCTCCAATACACTGTTGTGATGGTTCTATTCTGTTCTGTTATTCCTGGCAATCTCTTACTTTGCCTGATTTATGACTCATACTTAATCATAGGTAGGCAGATAGGAAGAAACACAATAAATATGGAGTTCAGGACTCTCCAAAGTCCTAGGCATGCACTGGAGCATTTTGGAAGGCACTAGGCAGGGACAAAGGGGAACTGTTTTTCCAGTAATGGAATGGTTGGGGGGTGGGGGAGGGAGGGAGAGACAACTTGTTTACCCTGGAAGCTGTTGCAACTGTCTCAGGTGCAAATACACTTTTCTTTTTCTTCTTTTTCTTTTTTTATTGATTACATTGTATAAACAAATACATTTTTTCAATGGCATTGGTACTGCCACTGTCGCACATACACTCCTTCACACACTTGCTTATTACAGGCATGCTTTCATCTTTACAGAGGTATTCTCTGCTTATCTCTACAGAGGTATTTCTTGCCAGCTTTCTCAACTGAAATACCAGAGCCTCTCATTAGAACTGGTCTGATTTGAAGTTGCTTCATCAGCCTCCATGCTGTACAGCATGACTGCACTGGAAAACATTCCAGGATGCTGGATTTGAGCCCTGGATTTGCCATTTGGTCATCTGACTTTGCTGCTTAGCCCTGTGAGCATGTCTGTCAGAGCTGTTCTCTGAAATAGGATAGATAGAATACTCATCAGAAGAGCCACTCCTTGAAAAGAAAGGGTTCATTGGCCACTAAGCAAACTGGAAAAATATTTTCATCTGCGGACACTTCCTTTCCATTCAGAGAGCCACAGGAATCCAAATAAAATAAGAGTTCTGTTGGATTGGGTGTCGGTTGGGCTGGGCTAGGCTTTAGCTGCCACCAACCTGAACTGGAAGTGGGGGTGGGCTGGACTGGGCTAGGCTACAGCACCACTGGCAAAGGCTAAAGTGAGGCAGGCCATGCCAGACTGGGCCACGGTATCTAATCAGCACACGCAAGATCCAGGGGATAGGGAGGGGAAAAGCTGGTAGGGGAAATGTGGAGGGCTCCCCTGCTGGACATCCGCTCCCACTGGAGAACGTGAGTTGAGATGGGAGCAGACCAGACCGGGCAGAGCTACAACACCTGTGGGCCTCATGTGAGCTAGATCAGGGAAAAGCCAGGTTGGATTGACTGCTCCTACTGGTGCAAGCATAAATCAGAGTGGGTGAGGGTTGATTGGGCTTTGCTGCAGCATCAGCTGGCAGCTGCTGGCACTGGGGGGCTAATTCTGTCAAGCTAAACCACAGAACCACCTGGAATATGCATAATCCGGGAGTGGGCCCAGGAGGGAAATGGTGGGCACCTCCCTCTTGGGTTACCACTCCCACTGGAGAGCATGAAAACCAGGACTGGGGCAGATGTGGCTGGATAGAACTGCACCCACCAGCATGTGTATGGGCTGGATGGTGGGGCTGGTTGGGTTGAACCAGGCTTCAATGCCTATTGACAGGTAGGAGAGCTGAAGGGAATGTGGGACAGACTGGACCAGTATGTAGTACATACTGGCAAGCATGGGAACAGGGTAGGGGTGGGACTGGTGGAGGTTATTGGGAGTCGCCCTGACTAAGCTGCAGCTCCCACTGGTTTGCGAGGGCCAAGTGTATGGTGGGCAGAATCCGGCTTGACTGCAAAACCTATTAGTTCGTGTGGAAGATAGTGCTGGAAACAGAACTGACCTAGCAATTGAAGCCACCAACATATGCATAAGCTGATTGGGGCGACAGACTCTGCCGGACCCTGTACTGGCCTGCACACATAGGAATCAGACGAAGTTTCTTTGAGGAATCTTCCAACTGAACTGCTGATCTCAGAACTTCAACCATGAAGAGAAGTGTAGGTTCCATGGTCTGACCATGGAGTACAAGTGTCAAAGCTGAGCCTCCTCAGAGGCAGATGGAACAGTAGGCAGCAAATCCAAGTGCACATGGAGGATAAGACGCCTGGTACCACAATAGAATGGAGGACAGAAAAAAATTGATATCAAGCCCAGCCAAGTGTTGGCAGTAAAAATCTAGGCTAACGGAGACTCAAAGGTAGACTGTGTCAGCCAGTGGATTCTGGAGAGGTTTCATCATGCTTGGAATGGTGAGATTGGCAGCAATTCAGAACTGTTAAACTATCAAAACCACTTGAGCAGGACCCTCAGAGCATGCCCCACATCAGGGAGCTGGGATGAGTGGGAGGCAGGGTGGGGTTTCTCTCTTTATTCTTCCCTTTCCCAGATCTAGAAAAAATAATAATGAGAAAACAATGGTCTTACCCACTTTCCTGTAGCCCTTGACCCTTCGTGCCCTAATCAACTATGAAAAGATTATCAAAATAATTTAAAAATTTAAAAATCAAAGAGTTCTGAAATGTTCTGTGCATAAGAATTGACTAACTGAAGAAACTTGCAGTTTAAGAACTATTTTAAAATCACAGGACACCCTTACTAATTAAAAAAATATATCGAAGAGTAGACTTTGGGAAATTCTTCTCATGATTTTTTCCTCAGGAAATCATGTTTCCTGCCCTTTTAACCTCTGGAATGACTTGAAACTGGTTTTTCCTACCAGGTTGGGCCCTGAAAGGAACAGAAAATTCCTCCATGTGGTCATACTCAGCTCACTGGGAGATTCGTTCAAGTTAATCAGCAGCTTTAGAAGCTGCAACAGGTCTGGGAGCTAAAATCCAGCAGCCCTGGCTGGGAGCTGCCCTCATAATATGCAGGACTTTCTCCCTGGCATCTGTCCCTTTTAAACTTCATGTCCCAACTCATTTCCTAAGTGTCCTCTGGGAGCTTAGGGCTGGAGATGGGGAGAACAGATGGCAGGAACTGAATGTTTTCGTTGAGTGAATGACCTTCTTTAGCCCAGGAAAAGCAACCCCCAATCCTAAACTCATGCTGGGAGAGAACGGTGCTTTCCTTCATCTTAGTGCATTTGCTCAAAGGTAAAAGGATCCTCCTTAGGAGAAAAGTCCAGGTCACATGGCAGAACTAAGTTTCAGCGTGCCTGGGCAAACTGTCAGAAGGCATGGTTCACACAAGTGGAGGGGTCAGACCCAGGCAAAGAGTGAGGAGTGCACCTGCCTGGGAACACCGAGAATCTGGGGGAAGAGCCATGGTTGGGAGTTGACGGGAGAGCCAAGTCCAAGTTCTGGAACTGTGATGTTGGTCAAGCCATTTAAGCTCTCTGGTTTCCTCCAATGAATTGGATATGGAGACTCCTGCTTTAGCAGTGAAGATAATCCACTCCCAGTTGAGGGGTAGCACTGGAGCAGGGTTGGGGATGAGGTTGTGATTTATAGGCAGAGACAAGCAGGTGCAATACTCGGAAAACCTGGGCATCATCTCTCATGCTCTGTGAAGGACACCTGAGAGCTACTCATGACTAACGTGTGTGCAGAGCAATGACTGTCACCTGTAGCATCTGTGTGCTGCATTAAGTGACTTTTGTAAATCATTTATGTGGAAAGTATGCTCTCCCACCATGATACATAGGCTTACAGACGCTTTTTCTGTCAATGGATTATTCCAACTTGGTAACTAAATGTGATGTTGATTCAATCACGGGATCCAGCCTGCATGTTGGTTCTTGGCCTGGAGTGTAGGAGCAGATAAGATAACCTGAACAGTCTCTTTCCGAAAAGCTGCATCCCAGGCTGTCTTGCAAACAGTGGCTACTTTTTCCAGTGCATTTCTTTTGGCTAGCAATTATGCAAGCTTTTTACCTTGGGTAAGGCAAGACTACTTTATTGGTGGGGTGTGTGTATATAGGTGGTGTCTATAAATCAGGAACAGTGTTTTATAGAACCAGCCAGATCCTTGACCATTCTTTTAGTTGACTGGCTCTTTCCTAAGGAGTTGATGTGTAATCACCATCACTACAAGCTCTGGGAGGGAGACGGGGCCTGTAAAAGTCTACAACGAAGGCATTAGGGATAAGGGCTCAGTTTCAATTCTGCTTACCCACTGAATGTATGTGACAATCATCTGCACAATTATTCATCACAATCTTGGTCACAGTCTCCTGTGATAGTTAAGGAAATTGCAGCTCAGAGATGTTAATAAGTTTCCCAAAGCCACAGAGCAGACTTGGGCAGAGCAGACTTGGGAGCAGCATCGAGACCCCCAAATGCTGGCTGGAGGTCTTTCTTCACTACTTCTGGCTACCTCTGTTTTGTCAAAAGCTAATTGTGCTCTGCATTTTATGAGATGGCTGAAAATATGGGAGGAAGGGCAGGGGAAGGATGATGTCAGGAAACTCAAAAAGTGTTTGTTTCTGATATGATCATAGACCCTGTACATCCAAAAAAGGGTGACCGAAGTCAATTTCCTTAGAAGTGCCAGATCAAAAATATATGGTGAGTCTCTGATCTACAGAGCTCTGCCTTAAATGATAACATTTCATGAACTCTGAAAAGCAAGCAGAGAAAAAAGCAGCCCTGAGGGATGGACAGCCATGTCCCTTCAGAGGACCTGGGTTTGGGCTCCAGCTCCGGCCTCTTGCCTCCTGTTAAGCAGATCCTGGGAGGCAGCAGAGGTGGTGTGGGGAGCTGGGCTCCTGTCACGCTCAGAGCAGGCCTGGAGTGCCTTTCTGGCTCCGGGTTTCAGGCCCGTAACTGTTGCAGGCCTTTAGGGAGTGGGCCAACATGTGGAAGCCTCCCTCCTCTCCATATCTCCTCCTCTCTCCTGTGCGCATGTGCACGTGCACACACACATAGAATAAGTGCAACTATTGGGGCCAGCATTATGGAGCAGTAGGTTAAGCCTCTGCCTACAACACCAGTATCCCATATGGGTAGCAATCTTGGCTGCCCCATTTCCGACTAATATATCTGGGAAAGTAGTGGAAGGTAGCTCAAGTATTTAGCCCTTGCCATCCTAGTGGGAGACCTGGATGAAGCTCCTGACTCCTGGCTTTTGTTCCACCCAACTCCAGCTATTGCTGCTGTTTGGGGACCAAAGAAAAGGATCTAAGATGTATCGCCCTCTTTCTCTCTGTAACTCAGTCTTTCAAGTAAATAAAAATAAATAATTTTTAAAATTACATTTATTTCATTTTATGACACAATTTCATAGGCTCTGGGATTCCCCCAACCTCTCCCCCGACACTGAATTCCTCCACATTGTTACAGTAGTACAGATCATAAAAAAGTAAATAATTTAACTTTGAAAGAAGGAAGACTACTGAGAATGTTTTATCTGTTGTCTCTCGTCACTTTCATCACTAGGTGTCTCTTTGGTTAGCAAATTGTGCTCAGGGGGCTGCTTCCCTCCTGTATTGGTGGCAAGTGTCAGCAACAAACCTTGCCTTCCTGCCCGGGGAGGAGGGGTGGTCAGAGGGCGAGGGTGGGGCCTTGGGAACGGCCACATGTTGCCAGGAGCATTAGTTTAACCAGAGACTGAAGGGACTGGCTCTCATTACAGTGAGGAGATTAAACAGGGAAGCAACACGGTCAGAACCTAATTTCCACAGCAGGAAACGAGTGTGTCCCAGATGAAACACAGAGCATGACTGAGCTGCAGGTAGGGGGACTAGGGAAGGGAGAGTAAATTGGTGCATGCCCAGCTAGGGGCTATCCTAGTGCTTACAGGGCGAGTCGTTGTGGGCCTGGATTGATGGAGGGAGGATCTTGGCAGGTGATACGCAGAAACAGATGATGTAGTTCGTTCTTTCCTACTTTCATGATCTGAAGTGATTTTTATGTGATTCCAAGTTCCTGGGATCCCAAGGAACGCCAACTGACAACACACGCTTAATCATTAGTGTCACCATGTGTCACCATGACCATGGACTGCTTTGCTTTGTAAGCAGACGGGGAGGACAATTAGAACACTGAAGATAGCTCTTGCCCTACAAACAGTGCTGGCGGCAGGGCCCTAGTAGTCACGGCCAAGATCAAGGTTCAGGACCTCCACGGCAGGAAGAAGGAGGAGCTGCTGAAGCAGCTGGACGGCTTCAAAGTGGAGCTGTGGCAGCTGTGCATCGCCAAGTTCACTGGCGGCGCGGCATCTGAGCTGTCCAAGATCCGTGTTGTCCACAAGTCCATTACCCGGGTCCTCAGCGTCATCAATCAGACCCAGAAAGAAAACCTCCAAAAGTACAAGTCCCTGGATCTGCAGGCCAAGAAGATGCGCACATTGTGTCACCAACAACTCAACAAGCCTGAGGAGAACCTGAGGACCAAGAAGCAGCAGAGGAAGGAGCAGCTGTACACACTGCATAACTACACTGTCAAGGCTTGAGCCCAGCCGGCAGTGACAATAACAGCAGTAAACACCACACACACACACACACATGAGATAATCAGTAGACCAAGTTCAAGATGCTAGACGTGACATTCAACCCATCAGAATGCCATTCAAAGGAAAACATCTTGAGTTGTTCTTTAAACCAGCAAATCTGCTACTTCTCAGAGTCACCCTTGAACTATATCAAGTTCCCCAAGGACACCCCGCCTTGGCCAGAGTCCATAGCCCCACTGTTGGATGTGAAAGATCACATCTGGGACCATGGCTTCAGCTACTTGGGTGCTAAGGATCTCAACTTTGGGCCCCAGGCAGCAGTTCGCCTCTTGGAGGCTCACTGTGCTGTGGGCTGTGGTCTCCTGGAAGGGTGGGTAACGGCTCAGATTCATATTAACCAGACTGACCACAGTCTGGGTCCTGTATGTGTGCTAGGGGTTGTGCCCTGGGCATGTATTTCCTGCCCGCAGGCTGCTCAGAGTCTCATGGGACACACACACACTTCTGCAGAAAGAAATTATCCTACCTTGGTTATAGGAAATGGAAACATGGCTGCTGGGAGAGCTAGGGAAGTTTCTGAGCAGAACTTCAAAAGAAGCCCGAGTTTACCGATGGTTAAGGGCATGCTATGTCTTATTGTTAACATTTTTGAACATAATGACCCCAATATTAATGGGATCAGAAAGTTATGCAAATTCATTGCATTTTGTAAGGGCAGAAAGAGAGAAAGATCTCCCATCTACTGATTTACTTTCCCCAGTGCCAGCAGCAGCAGCAGCAGGTCCTGGGAGCTCAACCTGGGCTTCCCATGTGTATAGGAGGGACTCAAGTACTTAAGTTATCTGCTGCTTCCACAAGTGCACATCAACAAAGCTGGAGTCTGGAGTAGTGAGGGGACTCAATCCCATGGCATTCCAATACAGAATGGATCTGTATTCCAATAAAGTTACAGCATCGTAACTTTTATACCAAATGCCCTCCCCAAATATATGTGCTTGGAAAAAAATTCAATCACATCTTGCCTTGTGGCTTGTTTTTTTTTAAAAAAGATTTATTATTCTTTTATTTGAAAGGCAGATTTTATAGAGAAGGAGAGACAGAAAGAGATCTTTCAGCTGCTGGCTTTCTCCCCAAATGGTCCACAATGGCCCAAGCTGAACAGAACTGAAGTCAGGAGCCAAGGGCTTTCTCCAGGTCTCCCACATGGGTCCAAGGGCCCAAGGATTTGGGCCATCCTCCACTGCTTTCCCAGGTCATCAGTAGGGAGCTAGATTGGGAGTGGAGCAAGCCTGGGCTCTAACTAGTACCCATATCAGGTATTGGTACCTACAGGTGGAAGATTAGTGTATTGAGCCACTGTGCTGGCCCTTGATTTTATTTATTTGAAAGACAGAGTCACAGAAAGAAAGAGGCATCTTCCACACACTGGCTCACTCCCAAAATGACTACAATGGCTAGTGCTAGGCTGGGCCAAAGCCAAGGGTCAGGAGCTGCTTCTGCACCCATGTGGGTGCAGGGGCCCAAGGACTTGAGCCATTCTCACTTGCTTTTCCCAGGTGCATCAGCAGGAAGCTGGATCAGAAGTGGAGCAGTTAAGACTCCAACTGGCACCCCTATGAGATGCCTATGTGACAAGCAGTGGCTTTATCCACTACAACACAGTGCTTGTCTGGGTTCCAGGTTTTTACCTTTGAATGGCAAATACTGAATTGCTGAGTTGCTAATAAATATTCCTGTAGTCATAATCTAGAAGCCTCCATTATCAGATCACAAGGTTGTATGGAACACACTTTTTTTCCATTATTGATTTGCTGTTCTCTGCACAACAGGGCAGACCCGTGGGGGTCACTTTGAGTTTCATGAAGGCAGGGGCTGTGTGCTGGCTGGCAGGGAGGCTAGCAGGTGCGAACAGGGCTATGTGTCTCCTCCTGATCCGTAGGCATCCCCCAAGGGTGCTCCTCTCACCTCTCTCATCACACTCACCATCTTAGCCATGCTAAAAGAGATCTCAAGGGCTCCTACATTCTTTCCCCAGGGATAGCCCTGAAACAGATTTGAACTGCAGGGACACTGTGGCCACACTGTCTCCAGCAGAGGTCGCATCAACAACTAGATTTGCTATTTAAAAATTTTTTTTCCTGTGAAGATTCACACTTCCCCTAAGCACAAATAATCCTTTCACTTAGGAACTCTGTTTATTGAACTTTCAGTTTTCATTGTTATCCTTGTCTAAATGTCATTTTGCACACTATATTTGGTGAATGTTTTTCTTTGCTCTTATTCATTACACCCTTCTCCATGTGGTGACATAGTCCATATATTTATTATTCTAATGACTCTATGTTCTTTTGAATAAATCCATAACAATACCCCAAAGATTGACTATTCATATTGATGGATTGGTTTTTTATGCTATTATTAATGGTATCACTTGAAATAATTTAAAACTGGGCCACGTTTTATATTTTGGCAGTAGTAATGACATTCATTCCTTTAAAACTCTTTTGTTTCCTTTTACAAAACCAGAACATGTTCCTTAAAGACGTTGAAGGCAATGGAAGTGGCATGGCATGTTAGTGACCTGAGGCACAACTAGGTTTTTATTTTTACTTCTTATTTTTTAGTTTTCCCATTAATTGTCTGAAATATGTTTGCAGAAGTGGATCTTTTGTGCCCCTGACATTCTCTAATAATCTCAGAAGGCCTGAAAGGAGAGACTTTATTCCTCAGTGGAGAAGATACAGGAGAGATTACACAGATTAAGATGAAAGTTTACTATTTTTCTCCCCATTGTGGACTGTGTTCAGTGGCTCTGTATTTAAGAAGATATGTAATAGAAGTGTAGCAGAAACTGGTATGTTCAGAGGTGAAGAGAGAGTGCAGTATGTCTCTGTGCAGACAGAACAAGGATGGATTCCCAGTGAAGTGGCTGAAGATGCTGGACTTCCGACATTGTCCACGCCTACATTGTCAGGAGACACTTCAGTGGCAGCATGATGAACTTATGAATGTTCATGAAAGACACCCATTGTAAAACTGAAGGGGAAATCAGTGCGGAGGGGAGGGATCTTGAGAAGGGGGATGGGAATTCCCCAGTACCTATTAAACTGTCATAAAACAAAATTAAATTAAATGAATAAAGAAAATTAGCTTGAATCTTGGGGCACTAGATTCCCACACAAGCCATGGCAAGGCCTGCAGTCAGGATTCAAAGGCTGCTAATTGACAGTGTCTTTATGCCCACTTGGCCACCAAGTTAGCCACTGCTTTCAAAAAAGGATGTGGTATCTAAGGTAGCCTTGCTTGTGGCATGCCTACATCCTATGAAATAACTGGACTAGATGGTTGAGCCCACAGCCCCAGCATAACCTCTGCCCAAGCATCCAGCATGGCTCTCGCAATGTTCATCCTAAGGATGGAGCCTCTGTGAGTGTGATGCAGGTGTCCCTGCTCTCATGCTGTACCCTAGAGTTCTACACACCCAGGAATTCACCCAAAGCTCCTTGCTCTGCAGTTGTTCAGGTAGAGATGAGTAAGTGACCTAATTCTAACACTTGAGATGATAGATTTCTCTAGGGGAGAATCTCAATAAATTTTTCTTTCTTGATTAAAAAAAAGATATATATAATTCTTTCTCATTTTTTCTACCTTACATGTGAGCATGATGTCTGCAATGATAATAGCCACTGTGTGACTGTGAAGTGATTGGGCATGAGATGACCACAAGACATGCACCGACAGCCACTGAGTCAAACTAACAGACTCCATGTTGGGTATAAGCTACTCTAAGTTGGATTTTCTGAAAGTTGCAGCCAAACCCAATCTGGATTTTGATATTTTTATTATCTAGGTGAGGTTGCAATCAACAACATAGAGTGTAATCTTTGCACTCAACCTTATTTTTTTTAGAGTAAATTTATGTAAGACAAAATGGGAAATGTTAGGTTGCATTATGCTGAGAAACCAAAGATCCTAAGAGAGAAATCCTTCAAGGGATTACTAAGTGGGCCCAGTGCAGTTGGCTCAATAGTTAAATCCTCACCTTGAAGGCACCAAGATCTCATATGGATGTCAATTCATGTCCCGGCTCCTCCACTTCCCATCCAGCTCCCTGCTTGTGGCCTGGGAAAGTAGCAACAGATGGCCCAAAGCCTTGGGATGCTGAACCTGTGTGGGAGACCTGGAAGAAGGTTGTCTGGATCAGCCCAGCTCCTGCCACTGTGGCCACAGTGGACAGAAAATCTTTCTCTGTTTCTCTTCCTCTCGGAAAATCCACCTTTCCAGTAAAAATAATTTTTTCAAAAAAAGGATGTAACTAGGTGAAACTGGGGATTTTCTTTTCTTTTTTTAAATTTCTTTTTTATTATTTTTATTACTATTTTATGATATAGTTCCATAGGCCCTGGGATTTCCCTATCGCTTCCCCAATTTCCTCCCCTTTTACTGAGTTCCCTTATATCATTACTATTCTATAGTTCTTCATAAACAGTCATATGTTCATCATTGTGGGCATGAACAATGGCAGAGTCCAGCATCCTATTGTCCAGATATAGCAAACCGTTTCATTGGGAGTCCATCTGGAAGTAGAAATGCATACTGCATTGTACCCTCACATCTGGATATGATAGTTTCCATTACACAGTTACCATATATCTCCTTAAATGAAAAGCCTCAAAACAAAATCACCAAAAGGAAGAAAAAAGAAATTAACAATACCATGAAGTTGAATAACATGCTACAGAATGACTAATGTGTTGCTGAAGAAATGAATATCAAGAATTTCTTGAAGGAAATGATGCTACTGTATGATCTATAAGTTACCGAAGAAAGTGTTTTGAAGAAATTAAACTAAAAAACATCAAAATCCATGAAACATAGTTTCTGCTGATCTTTGTTGGTGAGATATGTCTCCTGCAAGCAATAAATAGATGGGTTTTGTTTTTCTAATCCAGTCTACTATTCTGACATTTGATTGATGAGTTTAAGCCATTTGCATCAGA